ATCTTCCACTCTCTCTGTCGCTGGCTGCAAAAGGGTTCCATGCCAACTGTGGCTGCAGCCTTGTCTGCTGTATCCTACTAATGTTACAACTACTGGCATTCGTCTTTTATTTCTTTTCTTTCTTTTTCTTCTTTTTTTCAAGTTTCATGAGTTGACTACTTCTGGCATTCATCCGCATGAGATCCGCACACACTATCGCAACAGAGTATTACTGGCCAGCCAGCCAACCAGTGGTTGAATAGAAGCAAGCCAAGCAGCTCACTTTGAGCGAACGAAGCAATGCTGTCAATATCCATGACGCTGTAGCAGATTCACAGAGAAGAAATGGAACTCGCGAAAGATCCCCACAGCAACCGAAAAACAGACGGCCAAAAGGCGGAAAGAAAACCTCGTCAAAAGACAAAAAGAAAAAAAAGACTGCCAAGTCCCTCGTGTCCCATTGGCTTATCGAGAGATTGCGTACGCCATCGAGCTCATTCAACACACCATTCTCTGAACAGTGACAGAGCCGAAAAGGTCCGCGATTTCCGTAGACCGCCCCCGCGTATTCCGCTTGGCCTTTCAAAGCCTAGCCTACAACGCCCCGATCTACCACTTGTACTCAGACAACTACCGAGAGGATCGATGACGCTCTAAAAATACTTCAATTGCCCAAATTACTCCCTCCTCGGCTGGTTTGAGGGCTAGCCAGACTCTCGGCCTTTCCTAAACTAGCTGTCGTCAGAAGGGGGGGGGGGGGGGGGGGGACTAACTGTTCTCGGCCATGTACTCCCCTCTGCTTCAGTCGTTCCCTGTGTGCTTAGGCTTACTGCGTATTTTCTCCGCACTGCAGACGAAGTACGCCGGGGCCGAGGTACTACTTGCCTGGACCCACGGACCATGAAGTACATGCAAAGGAAACAACGAATCCCGGCATGTTGCGAGATACCCCTGAAAGTTCACGTACATGCTAAATACCCCTCAAACATGCGGTTAAGGGTATATTTTAGCATATTTGCCATTTTTTTTGTTTAAACTACATTTTTTCTCTCAATTTCACCTCAACCCACTACTCCTAATTATAGTCATACGGGATTAGTCATCCGGGGAACCCCAGCCAGAACCGTGCTCACGGGAGAACATGCGGGGGCTGCTCCCAACCTGCAGGTGGGCGATACGGTGACAGCCGGTAGCATAAGTGACCATGCGAACAGGACCAATCCGTTTGCCTCCCCTCAGGTCCCCTCCCCTACGAACATCAGCAGACTGGGCTCGATGCCGACCGGGGGATCCAATGGTCTATCTCTGGGTGGCGGGCGCCAAGCATGCCCAGGAAGGTACATGAGACCAATCGGGATTCAACCCACGACCTCCTGAATGCCGCTTGCGAGCCTTACCATATTTGTCTTTTTCTTTTTTTTCTTCTTTTTTTTTTTTGGTCTCCTCCTCATCGGGGAACAGCTTTATATAAATGTTTTTTCTCTCAATGTAAACTGCCTCCTACTTGCAATACAGGGGACCCCTGCATGCATAGCTATCTACCTCATGGAACATACCTATTTCATCTTTTCCTAACTAACTACCATTACTCCTAAGGCTATACAGTGAGTCTACCTCTCTTCGCTGAAGGTAATAATCATAATAATAATAATGGCCTGCCAGGCAACATTGCGCCACTCAGGGGCAGGCGGCTAGTTCGGGGTGTCCACGAAACGAAAACGCGCGCCGTTTATTAAAATAAAATTACAAAAAAAAAAAAAAATGCGCGCCAATCGTCCATCTAACGGCTAGGAAAAGCTCCCATTTCCACAAACCAGCTGGCCCGTTCTGCCGCAGTGCAGCCTGCACCTCGTTACCTTACGGGCTCAACTCCCACCCTTCAACTGCTGATGACATGGCTGCAGTGCATCTAGCCGCCGAGACAACGAACCGAAAACAAACTGACAAGCCGTTGCGAAAGAACCAGCGAACGTCCTTACAGCCATCGCCAGCCTTTCGACATTCCAGGACGACCAAAGCGGCCAGTCAGGCGAGCAGGCCCGCCGGAACACGAAGACGAGATATATGAAGGAAAGGGAAAGGCGACGGGTAACAGAAAAATCCAATACATAACAACCCTGAACGAAAGAGAGAATGGCACAGATATGATGGCACAGTATTTCGACCGACAGCCAGCCGTCCCTACGGTGTACACCACTGTTGCTCGACAATAGCACGTCCGCATGTATATCCCAGGGGGCAACGTCATCGACCAGCGTTACCCGCTGCTGTTTCCTGGGGAAGATATCCAAGGCAAACGCCTCAGGGCCCCGGAGCAGAGCGTGCACACGCACGACATGAGGGAGGAGATGACAACGAAGGGTTGGAATCTGACTGAGAAGAAAGCAAAAGACAGTGAGGAAAGGAAGTATGATGCTCGAATAGGAGGGGGTTCCTCCCAGGGACGAACTCTTCGACGTGGGAAAAAAAAACAAGAACAAAGTGACGAGGAAACAAAAGTCGCAGAGCATGATTGCTCTGTGTGCATGTGTGCTTCAGTGTACACTGTGAATGTGCTTGAGCCTGCGCACGCATTGGAGAGTGTACTTGCTGCCTGGAAGAGTGTTCGTGTGTGCATGAGTGTCTGAACACACACACACACACACACACACACACACACACACACACACACACACACACGCTGGTGCCCTTGTGTGCACAGTCGAAGGCTGCGTTCATGTCCGCATGTGTTCGATGCGAGTCCTGCCGGCAGATAGATGAAGCCGAGGGGCCGGCCGGCTCTGGTTTCACGCTTGCGCCCCTCTCCTCACCACCCATCTCCTGCCCATCGTGTGAGAGCTCAGGAGGGAGCGCCCGTGCCCCTTCTCGAATGCCTGTCCGGCTAAGAGCCCCATACGCGTCGGCGTAAAGATGGGCATGCCGTGACTCCTGGCGGGCAGTTATAAGGAATCTTCGAGGATTAGGAGAACGAAGGGGCCATTAGACAAAGGGAAAGAAGTGAGAAAGTATCGATACCGCGGAAAATACCCCACTGCATATTGACCCCGCGCTGAATGGCCTCCAGACCATCGCTTTATTCTTTTCTCCCCCGCAAGGAAGCACCTCCACCGAGGTCCACGGAGTGCTGGCACATCACCTCGCGGGTCCGGGAACTCTGCAGAAAGTCCCAAGCCAAACTACAGTGATACCCTCACTTTGCTTTGGGCGTGCGTGTGCCGATGTGGAAGTCCGCAGCGAGGTGCCAACTCCCGTACACCAATGCGAGAAGATTGGAATGTGGTTGGTGTGACCAGGCACCGAGGAAAATGACGAGAGCAAAAGCACGCAGAGCCGAGCAGCCACGAAATCGAAGAGAAAACCCTGCTGTACCCTCTCTCTCACTCTCTCTCTCTCTCTCTCTCTCTCTCTCTCTCTCTCTCTCTCTCTCTCTCTC